TCAAGAGTAATTTAATATCACTAAGCTAATATAATATTACTTCATGGAAAATGTGCATTGAAATGTCATAAATATTTTTTATTTGTAGTACTCAACAAATAGCCTAAAAACAGCTCTCATGAAGGTCTATAGGCCTATGTTGAACTATGTTTGTATTGGTAGGCTATAAATGGAAGCTACTATGATGTCTTAGTGTATTTTTACTCGTATGTATTATTACAAAATATTATTTGGAACTTTTACGAATGAATATAGCCTAATTGTTCACATATTCCCTTTCAGAGCATGAGGCCCTAGTATGACGCCCCTAGCCCAGAGAGAGACCAGTAGCCTAATGTATTTTGGCTGTGTAATGATGAATGCTGTAGGCCAAGAGAGACAATGGGCTTCAGTCTGGTCGATGGGGGCTCCATCAATGATTCATCTATGGGCAGGTGTGTCACCTGCACCCAAACAGAAAAGTAATTTCCTGAAAGGGAGCATGTGAGGTAATTATTTATGGTGTGTTACCTGATACACAAAGATCCTTGTGATATACTGAGTCCAGGAGCTTCAACTGCATATTTGCTCCATTCAGATTACTTTTATTTCATTCTCTCAGTATTTGTTCAATGTGAATATACATAGAGGCAAATCTGCTGTAGGCCTACAGGTTGTAAAAAAAAAAAAAAACATACATTGTATTTTTGCACAGTTGTCTTTGTCAGTGTAGCCTAGCCATTTTGCATCAAATTGCACTGAACCCATCTCCGTATGTTGTCTTATTGGTTAATTGATTAAGAAATGATGAAGGGTAGAGGAATTTTGCTATTTTTCAGGATGTTGCCATAGCAGTGAGGAGTCTTGGGACCAGGTGGTACAGGGAGCTCGATCTCCCTCTGTCGCACTCCAGAAGCTTTCCCACATGAAAGGAGTCCCATAGCCTTTGATGCCAGGCAAGGTTGAAATTCAAATGACAGCAATCCGACTAGATAAGGGTCTGATTAGGCAGCTGTTTCGGAACAGAGGGTATGCCACTGACACCGGCAAAGAGAAGTAAGGTTTTAAATGTATACAATCTTTTCCATAGTTTTTGTCTTCCCAGTACATCTCCTACATTTGTCAAGGCCATGCTCACAGACTTGGGCCATCTTGTGAAACAAGAATTTGACTTACTGTGCCCATAGGCCCAAAGCTGTATCTGTTTCTTGGAAATCATAGCAAGGCATTTGGATAAATTGTCAAAAATGAACTTACATCTGGGCATATTTGATAGCGTGTTTGCCCTTAATTTGTTCTGTAGGCATATGAAGAATAATTTAATGTCTATTTTCCTTACAGTCTTCCATGAACTTACACCAAAAGTTGTTGGAAGCACAGGGTCAGCCATGCAATACAAGGATATGCCATTCTCTCAAAACATATGTAGACACTTGTATCACAAATTCATTCTGCATAAAAATGATGAAAATACATATATTTTCGTCATAATGAAGATTTAATTTGTGACTGACAATTGACCATTTACAATCAAAGTCCATAGCCAACTTTTTAAAGACCGCCCTTCTCTAGCAACTCTCGTCTTGTCCTATCAGCACCCACTTCTCGTCTCAGACGCCCACAATTTTTCTGTTCTCCCCAATCGTTGGTCTTTACTAGGCTAATCACATTTCGCTTCTCTGTGTTCCGCCATTTTGTAAGGGTATAAGAAAAGTCAGCCAGGCAACAGACTTGTTGGTCTAACTTGTGTAGCTAGTTCCGTGTTGTGCAATGGACGGGTAAGTTCAAGGATGAAGTTATGCTTGAGAAAATAGCAACAAACTAACATGCAATATTAAATATGTCCTGTAACGACAATGAGCTAGCGAATCTAGGATTGTGTTATTTTCTTTTGGTTGCGATGGAAACATGGTAAAACTTATTTTCTGTGCATCGGTGATAGACACTCCGAGAGGCGTAACGTTAACTAGCAAGCTACGTTATCGTTGCTTTGGCGTTGTAGTTAGCACTAGCAGGCTAGTTTTTATTTTTTATATTTTTGCTGTTGTCTAGACTCAATTGCCCTTTAACTAATAAAAAGCAAGACAGTGATGCATATTGAGTGGACTGACTAACTATCTCTGTGGGCTGGATGCTAGTTAACTAGCTTGGCTAAGGCGCTTCTAGCCACTGAAAATTGGAACCACCTGTGGCAGTGCGACGTTGGTTAGCGTGTGTTGCAAGAATGTTCGCCAGGATATTGTAATGTAGATATGACTGTCTAACTACCATATTGTCAAGCCTTGCTGGCGGTTAAACTATACCTAGTTACTTGGTTTAGAAGTCTTTCCATTATGTTACTAACGTGGCTATCCAACCATGCGTGTTGTACATAAGTTAGATTTCTGCTGCAGACGTTCAGAGATAAACAATAGTTAGTGTGTACTTTAGTATTTTTAAATGTTGTTAATATTGGTATAGAGATCAGTATGCTTGAAATTCAGAGCAAACAGTGAAAAGACAAGAGAATATTAGTCTTGTTATTAACCCGCAATTTCTTCCAGCCGTCTAGAGACTGATTTGTATCCTATGGGATCTACTTACGTCACTGAACTAGAGTAAGTTCTTCTTTTCATATACATTCTAAATGCAAGGTACCAGTTCATTTAGTTGTGAATATCGGATAATAAACATATAATCCTTAGGCTGATTTTCATATCACTTTGGTTTTTGTGTTGTATGTTGGAATCAATTTTTACATCTAATTCCTGTAGCATTGTGAGATGCCCATTGTTGATTCTAAGTAACCTCCATAATGGTGGTGATAGTGACTAAGGTATTGTGTTGATAAGGTTTCTCAGCATGCAATGACTTGGTGTGAGTATTGAGTGATTTGAGCTGTTACATTGTCTTGCTCATCCTCCCCCTTGCAGTCAATGTAGCTTTGTATTAGTCTACTTTGTATCAAGTCTACTCTGAAAGCATATAATCCTAAAAGATGGAACATAGTTTTATTTTCCAGTAGATTGCAACGTGTAAAGCATTTAGCATTTGGCAACCTCCCAAGTCTTATTTGTGTAAAAAGAATAAACTATCATATGTAACATCTTATCTAGCACCCGACCTTAATGGTGGCGGCATCTCTCCACATGTCCAATGCTATTGCGAATTCAGGTTATGAAACTTGACAGTGAATTGGATGTTCTGCGTGGTTCCTTTATGATGAGTCATTAGCTAAGTTTCCATTAACTTGTCCTGCGATTATTTGTGTGTGTCTACATTTAGAAAGATCGCATAGAAAATGGACATTGCTTTTGTCGTGTAAACCTGGGTCAATGGAAACCTGCCTATTGACTTTAGTACAGGCCTAAGTGCTGAGCACGTTTATTTAGGAAGTGTTTGGTCTTAACTCAGCTTTTTCTTTCTGAGGTGACATCCTGCTCGTATTTTGGCGGCAGTGGTCTAAGGCACTGCATCGCAGTGCTAACTGTGCCACTAGAGATCCTGGTTTGAATCCAGGCTCTGCCGCGACCGGGAGACTCATGGGCGGCGCACAATTGGCCCAGCGTCGTCCAGGGTAGGGGAGGGAATGGCCGGCAGGGATGTAGCTCAGTTGATAGAGCATGGTGTTTGCAACGCCAGGGTTGTGGGTTCGATTCCCACGGGGGGCCAGTATATAAAAAAAAAAAATATATATATATATATATTCACTAACTGTAAGTCGCTCTGGATAAGAGCGTCTGCTAAATGACTAAAATGTTAACATAACAATTTTTTATTGTTGACTCGGCAGCCTATATGGCAGTTTTGCTTCATGTTAAGGTTAGACCCTTGGACAATAAAAAAAAAAAATAGCAAAAAGTTGAGTAGCTTAATTGTACCAATGTTGACTGACGTTCCTACTTTTCTGCAACTGATCAATAGTTGTTTTTAAATGCTTTTCTCTACCTTTTGGGGTTTCTTGGATCTTTACTATACAATAGTGAACCTCTTAGTCTTTTAACCTTAATTTGGGCATTTTAATTTTTCATCCTTACTGCTTCTAACATTCCTGTCTTCTCTTTTCTTCACAGCAGTGTCCACGATATTACAGTTGGTACAAAGGTAGGCACCCTCTTTTCTTCTCCTTTCGCTTTTTCCTCGCTTCAACATGTCAGAACAAGAGGTGTTTGACTAGGGCTTCTGATTTAGAATGATCTGTGGATGTAGCTGTGTGCAGATTTTACAAATTGTAGCCCAATTGTTGCTCAGGCTGCGTTTTATCCATAGTTGGAATCTTGTGATTAAACAGCCATGCCAACTATTGCTGCATGAGAAATGAAAGCGTTCAAAGAAGGCACCCCTACAACCAGTTTGGATCTGAGGGTGGGAATATCCTGTTTGCTTAGGTCGTGAGTTTCATTGGCTTCAAGTCACTTAACCGGTTGCTTTGTTTGCATTTTTCCATGGTTGTTGGCTGATTTAAACAGTGTTGTGAAAATGTAGAGGAGGCATGCACAAAGTAAAGGATACAATTAGGGGAATAGGCCTACCTAATGTTGCTTGTTTTCTTTCGTGACACATTGCTACACTTTATGGGGGCAAGCAAAAGTAAAACACCCTGCCTTGTCACTCGTAACCAGTTACCAAGTTGAAATCTCTTAACTGTTTTGATCTTGTGTGGTGAGAACATTGCTGTTGCTGTGGAAACAGTAGGGCCTAATTATTGGTTGGCTTTGGCATTGTGCCGGGAATGCTCTCGGTACATTCCAGCATTCTGGCTTCTCCACGCTCGTCTCTCTTTAAGGGTTTTTGTCTCGTCACTGATACACCAGCACATGTCCCAGTAAGTGTTAGCCAATCATAATGCTGTACCACCCATCCCTCCCTTGAGTCCTTTCTCAAGAAAATGACTACTTTTACCATCAAATGGCCCCCGCAGTCTGTCGGCCAGGGCTAACTTGAGCAAAAGCAGATGTTTCTAGATGGTGGACATTTTTATGAGAGGCATTTTATGCTCTACGCAGCAGACATGCAGTTATAAGTGCTGTCTCATTCCCCTGATGGATGTCGAGGGGAAGTTGAGTGACTCCAGGATATGTGGGTTTGGGATAGCGAGCAAACACACGGAGCAAGTGTTCCTGACTCGGTGCGTGTTGCCCGTCTGTGCTCTACAGACCGCTGTTACTGTCGCCTCCCAGCTTGGTCTTCCAAGGCCACCCCACAGCAACTGCATTCCTCACGGCTCTTTTCGCAGAGATAATCATCTGTGGTATGTGCCTAGCCAGGGGGGACTCTTAACACACAGCACAAAGACTGATTCTTACAGGTACCACGTGCATATGAGAAGGCCATTTTGTTACACATAAGCCAGCGCACATCGGTAACCTTAAGGCAGTGGTTGTGGTGGTAATACTTAGCCGGTTGTGGGTTATCTTCACAGGAAAGGGGGCAGTTTGCTGGAATGCGGGTGTTTTTTCCCCTCCTCCATTTTCTAATTGCCTCTTCTGTTTCCTGTTCTCCCCCGGGGTGTGTCATTAGAAACTGCTGGCCTCAAAGAATGGCCTGTTGACTGTTTCAAACTGGTTGGGAGGCTCTTGGGTCAAATTGTTGCCCCTTTACCATTTTAGTTAGCAATATTGTAACCAGGCAAGTGCAACATTTTATTAATTTGATTTTGTGATATTATAGGCCTATATTATGGTGAGTGATGGTTATCCTGGAGAAGACTGCAGCTATTTTAGGCCTATGTAATAGTTGATGTAAATGTTCTTGAAATGCCACTATGGAGGTGTAGTCTACAGGTTCAAGCCTCAAATGTCATTTGGGAGTTTTCCATTGTTTTCCAGTCCTATGTTACATGTTGCTCTCTACCTTTTTTAAAAGATGGGGAATATGTCATTAAATGTAATGACTAGGCCTATTTACCTTAGCTGTGGAGATGGTCTCTCTTAATTTCATTCCTCAAAGATTGGGGGGGTGAATGGAACCAATTCAGCACATGCAAATATGTCCCCCCCCCCCATTTTCAACATGCATGTTGTTCCACTGACCTCTGTACTCCCCCCACAAGCTGATTAGGGAAAGGATGGTATGGGGAAGGGCTGGGTGGCCTGTGTTTGATCATGGCAGTTGCCATGTTTCTTGGTAGCCACCATTATAGGCTACGAACTAGATTAAAACTCACGGCAGCCGAGACGTAGTTGCTTTAAGGGGTTCACACACCCTTGGTGTTTGGTGGCCGAGAGTACTTAGCACCTCTGAACGTAACTTGCAAACAGAGTTTACAGGGCATGAAACATTTCGACAGTCAGACGAATACAGCGGGTGGTCCCTAAAACACAGCGCTCTGAACGATCGGTGGACGAACGCTAGCTCCACCTTCGGTGCGATCTGCGTGAGCCTTAAGAGGCAGTGGATTGAATTGCTGTTCAATAATTTACATGTTGATAAGTAACAAGATCTCACTTAGCCACCTCCAAGGCTCCCCTGTTTTTATCGTAACTGGCCCTTTTAACTAGTTTCGCAAACATTTGTGTAAGGCAGAGTAATTGCCGGGAGAAATGTACACCTGGCTGTGGGTCGGAAGAGAAACAGCCTTTTGTGTATTCAGGCCAAGAGTCACGGGTGTGGCTTAGCAGCTCACCTCACCTGGAGCCACAGGCTAGGGTTTCTATGGTGACAGAGTGACATTCAATGCTGCCCTGGTAACGGCCCCATTCTTGAGGTGCATTGTCTCCTGCTCGCCTGCTCGGTCTTTTTCACTCCCCCCTGCTTTTTTCTCTCCACACCTTTCTAATTTCTTTTAATTTAGGCCCTCGATAGCTCCCTCAGAGAAATCCATTTAGAAAACAACTCACTTCATTAACATTGCTAACCAACTGAAAGCCTTACCACAGCTTTTTAAAGCATTGCAGCTTAACTGAGTTTTCTAACAAGTGTTCCTGTTCTCCTTATCGCATAGTTATTTAATAGGACATAATACTTAATGGGCTTAACACTTGACAACCGAATACATATCAAGTGTTAAGTCCTTAATCAATAAGTGTTTTAGTTTTTTTACAAGACAGTCTGGTCAATTGAGTGTAGTAACAGTTCTCCTTATCCTTGTAAAGCCATTTGTGAGAATGTTAGTGGCAGACAAAGCCTGCTCTGTGACTTGGCCTGCTAGGTCTTTTATTTATTTTTCATCTATAGCATGACCAGGAACATGCTTTTTGCTACCAAACCTCTTTTACAGACTTTTACACACACACTAACCCCCCCTCGCCCGCTACCCCTTACATATGGTTTTCATTGAGTCCCGCACCAGTGGAATTTGGAGTGGCTGGTGGGGAGAGTGGAGAGCGCATTCTGTTAACATCTCAGCACTGTGGAAGGCTGTTTAGCTGTGTACTCCTTGTGTTAACCAGAGCATGCTTCCCGTCCACATCGGTGATCACATGAAAGGAACTGGCTAGTTTGTGGTGAATCATTTCCTTGAGCTTTGTATCCATTTCCCCCTTTTGTTTATGTTATACTATAGAGGACAGCTGGTGTGCAGCCTCGTTTTACACACGCTGTAAAGCGTACTTCATTCTACCTCTGTTTTATAGGGCCTTGTATGTTTGTTTATGTCTCTGTATTTGTTTAAATCCGGTTTTACCGTGGTTTATGCTTTTCTTTATCAGCATAGGCTTGTAGTTTAAAGAAAATATAGTTGGGCTATGTAGATGTAAGATAACAACCTCTAAGTTTGTGTCAATCTAAATCATGGTGAGGATTTTAGCTAATTTGATTTTTGGGTGCCTGGTCCATAGACTATGGGGAGGGCGTGAACGGGTCACCATCTGAGCCATCTCCACCCCCTACCAGTACCCACCCGGGGTGTGCCAGACTGTGGGAGTGATGTACCACCAGGCCCATGACTCGGGTTTCTGCTCCCCCATCCTTCCCTCCCCCGCCCTCTCATTCCTGCTGCTTGGCGACCCAGAAACAGAGTTGTTTTTTTCCCCCTCTTCCCTCTCTGAATTTTTATTTTTTTGTCATTTAGCAGACGCTCTTATCTCTGGTTCCCTCCCTTAAACCTATGCCAATACGGATGACCCACACACACGCGCATACACATAAAATACAAGGGCGGTGGGGGTTGGGAAGGCGATAGCCTCTACCTTAGGCCATAGAGGATTTAAGGAGGTTAGCTAGTTTGGTCATTGGATCCCCATCAGTCTGCATATGGTCCTATCTATGCGCATTCCTCGCGTCTTTTGTCTGCTTCTTCTACTTGTAGCTCAGGGGCCGTATACTCAGATTCACATAACTTTTCATGTTTGCTAAGCAGCTGACCTTTTCCTGTTACCATTGTCACAAGGCAATGCCTGCCGGCCCTTGTATGACGCAATGGGTCACCCGGTACCTTTATACAGGCCCACATGAAAGGGTGGTAAAGGGACATAGCCTAGTAGTCCATCTGCTTGTTTTGGCTGTGATGGGGAGAACCGGTGCCAAGATGTCATTGTCAATATCAGTGTTCCCATTATTTTGAGGTCAAAGTGGGCGGTTTATTTAACCTGGGGCTGTTTACGAGTTTATTTTGTGGTCCCAATGCATACGAGACAAGCCGTTTCTCCCGTTTCCATTGTAAACCATAGGTCTTACCGTCAATAAATGGGAGAAATGTGCTATTCAGGCATTAGGCTGGTCATGTCTTTAAAATTATGCTGGTGGTGCAGTTCTGCATTGGTCTCAACATCATGTCCTTCTCCCTTTGCAGAGAGGATCAGACGAGCTTTTCTCCTGCGTTGCCAACGGACCCTATATAATGACCAGCGCAGCAGGTTAGTGTTGCAACCTCCATTTTTATATTAATATCAACCAAGTAAACATTTTAATCCACTATGAGCAAAGGTTGAGGCTGAATTTCCAAAAGGACGTACATCCAAGCTGTAGGCTCTCTCTCTCCTCCACAGCCAATGGCAACGACAGCAAGAAGTTCAAAGGTGACATAAGGAGCCCGGGCATCCCGTCGCGCGTCATCCACGTGCGCAAGCTCCCCAACGACATCAATGAGGCAGAGGTCATCTCCCTGGGCCTGCCCTTTGGTAAAGTCACCAACCTGCTCATGCTCAAAGGAAAGAACCAGGTAAGTGGTCTCACATGCCACCTAGCTCATTCGCTCTAACAGGTTCTCTTGCCGTCAACTCAAAGGGGAGGGGAGCATTAGTAACTATTTAATGCAATAGTAGTAACCAACTGTTAACCAGAGTGGAACATACAACTGTTGTAGTAGTAGTAGAGTTCAGAAAAATGGTGTTCTTATGGCATTCTCCTGTGTGTCCAGGCCTTCATAGAGATGAACACAGAGGACGCGGCTCAGACCATGGTCAGCTACTACTCCTCGGTGACGCCAGTCATCCGCAACCACCCCATCTTCATGCAGTACTCCAACCACAAGGAGCTCAAGACGGACAACTCCCCCAACCAAGTGGTGAGTCACTCTACTGTAGCTACAGGGAGGGGAAAAAAGTATTTGATCCCCTGCTGATTTTGTACGTTTGTCCACTGACAAAGAAATGATCAGTCTATAATTTTAATGGTAGGTTTATTTGAACAGTGAGAGACAGAATAACAACAAAAAAATCCAGAAAAACGCATGTCAAAAATGTTATAAATTGATTTGCATTTTAATGAGGGAAATAAGTATTTGACCCTCTCTCAATCAGAAAGATTTCTGGCTCCCAGGTGTCTTTTATACAGGTAACGAGCTGAGATTAGGAGCACACTCTTAAAGGGAGTGCTCCTAATCTCAGTTTTATACAGGTAACAAAGACACCTGTCCACAGAAGCAATCAATCAGATTCCAAACTCTCCACCATGGCCAAGACCAAAGAGCTCTCCAAGGATGTCAGTGACAAGATTGTAGACCTACACAAGGCTGGAATGGGCTACAAGACCATCACCAAGCAGCTTGGTGAGAAGGTGACAACAGTTGGTGCAATTATTCGCAAATGGAAGAAACCCAAAATAACTGTCAATCTCCCTCGGCCTGGGGCTCCATGCAAGATCTCACCTCGTGGAGTTGCAATGATCATGAGAACGGTGAGGAATCTGCCCAGAACTACACGGGAGGATCTTGTCAATGATCTCAAGGCAGCTGGGACCATAGTCACCAAGAAAACAATTGGTAACACACTACGCCGTGAAGGACTGAAATCCTGCAGCGCCCGCAAGGTCCCCCTGCTCAAGAAAGCACATATACATGCCCGTCTGAAGTTTGCCAATGAACATCTGAATGATTCAGAGGAGAACTGGGTGAAAGTGTTGTGGCCAGATGAGACCAAAATGGAGCTCTTTGGCCTCAACTCGCTGTGTTTGGAGGAGGAGGAATGCTGCCTATGACCACAAGAACACCATCCCCACCGTCAAACATGGAGGTGGAAACATTATGCTTTGGGGGTGTTTTTCTGCTAAGAGGACAGGACAACCTCACCGCATCAAAGGGATGATGGACTGGGCCATGTACCGTCAAATCTTGGGTGAGAACCTCCTTCCCTCAGCCAGGGCATTGAAAATGGGTTGTGGATGGGTATTCCACAATGACAATGACCCAAAACACACGGCCAAGGCAACAAAGGAGTGGCTCAAGAAGAAGCACATTAAGGTCCTGGAGTGGCCTAGCCAGTCTCCAGACCTTAATCCCATAGAAAATCTGTGGAGGGAGCTGAAGGTTCGAGTTGCCAAACGTCAGCCTCGAAACCTTAATGACTTGGAGAAGATCTGCAAAGAGGAGTGGGACAAAATCCTTCCTGAGATGTGTGCAAACCTGGTGGCCAACTACAAGAAACGTCTGACCTCTGTGATTGCCAACAAGGGTTTTGCCACCAAGTACTAACATGTTTTGCAGAGGGGTCAAATACTTATTTCCCTCATTAAAATGCAAATCAATTTATAACATTTTTGACGTGTTTTTCTGGATTTTGTTGTTGTTATTCTGTCTCTCACTGTTCAAATAAACCTACCATTAACATTTATAGACTGACCATTTCTTTGTCAGTGGGCAAACGTACAAAATCAGCAGGGGATCAAATACTTTTCCCCCTCACTGTAGGTCCTTCTCAACAGTTGCGTAACCCTTTATCTGCGCAGGCTTACTACTTCTGGAAGGCCATAAGAGAAGGATGAACTAGTGCTTTTCATGTTTTCAACATAGCTTGTACAAAGAGCTTGTCTCCAAAACGCATCAGCAAGGGAGCTCAGCTGCCACCCTGAACCTACTTTCATAATTACTCTTCATTCATTTTGGCGTTTTCATTTTGTAGGCTTCTCTGAGCAATTAGTGTGTTTGATGCTTAGAGGCAACATGAAGTGGGTTTCCTCCACAGTAGACTAGTTTGCTGTGTTAGTGTTACACATTTTTGTTTGTCTTTAAAGGTATTTTGAATCTGGCTCTCTCCTCTGTTTCATGTATTGCTGGGTCAGAATGCCTCATTTGGAAACTCTGTTCTTGCCAGGGCTTGTGTGGTTGCACAAACAAACCACCAGTCTACTTGTCAGCTGACTTCAGCCAATCAGAATGAACATATTTTCTGCCATGTTGCTGAAAATGGAGTTGTTGGCATTCGACTGCTAATTTGTTCAACTTCTACTTTATTCCGCAGTGTGTTTCTCAAGTTGTTTACCTTTCCCTGAATATCTTGCAGGGGATGGGACCCGGTTCAGGGAACAGAACCGGAAAAAAAAAAATTCAAAGAACAGAAACAGATCCTGGAATGAATGTGATCCATAATGTTCCAGAACAGAACCGTTATTTTAAAAGCATGGGAACTGATTTAATATTGTTTTGCGTTCCAGACACACAAGAAAATTGTCCCACAACAAAATGCAACAAAGTGCCTATATGCAAAGTCCTCACTCAGACGTATTCCAGTATCTACCTGCAAGCTGAAAATCTTTGCCTGTGCGTGTTTAGGCTACTGTACTGATCTTACAAGGTTGATTCAGAAGATGGGGAGTCATTTTTAATTAGCGAGAGAAGAATGGATTAACTTTTTCCAATGCTAGTCAAGGATACTATAGGCTTAGTTATCACGTTTCACGTTGGATTACTACAGAAAGGTAAGACTTGTTTTTAGCTCGAGCTTGTTAGCTAGCTGGCTCAAAGGACATTCAAAGTTCCTCGATAGAAGCCGCTCCTCCTAGGTATAATTCTGTGGCTAATTCATATAATCCACGTCATAACAAGATGCCCAGCGCTTCATGCTACCTCCTCAACCCTCTCGCTCTCTCCCCACCTGCAAAATCTGTCACATCTTGCGCCATAGGCTACACTTGTCTGTCCATCACGCATGTAAACAACTAGCTTGCCTGCTCAATCCTCACTGATTTAAGTAATTTTTAATGAGATAAATGTAAAAAAGTTGATTTCACAGGTTAAAAAAGTAACAGAAGGAATGATATCATCATTTTTTTGTTCAAACCGGTTCAGAGCTTTTTTTTGCTGGTTGGAACAGTGGAATGAAAGGGGAAAAAATAGTGGTTCAGAACGAAGCGATTGGAAAATCATTATGGTTCCAACTCCTGATATCTTGTGGTCGAGTGTGTAGTGTGTACCATGCACCCTCCCAACGAGGCCCTCCCCTTTTCTAAACATTGTTTCCTGGGAGATGGCATGCCAATGGCGACCAATGGAAGCCACAGCTGTGCACTCTACTCCCCTTCAAATTACTCCACTCTGGTCTTATCTGCTAATAGGCCAATGAAGTGAACATAAACACTACTGCTCTGTAAATGAACATTCCAAGACGTTTGTGTTTTGCTGGTAGAAGCTAAGTTTCTCTCCATAGTGTTCCTCAGTGTTTTACATACTCAAACGGGCCCCAGAGTTTCCACTGAGTATACAAACATGTCACGGACAGAGTGGTCAGCAGCACCCTGGAATGTAAATCTTTTACGTCCCCAAATAGTTCTTTTTACAGCCATTTTTCTTGTAAATGTCCAGCAACTAACCTAAGGCTATTCAATGAGAGTATTCAGAACATTGAAACGTATTGTGTAGAACAGAGATGACTGTCTGTGGAAGTCAGGTCAGCTCTACCTGAGCATTTGTAAATTCTCTTGCTTCTTCCCACTTCCACTGAACCATCCTCCTCTCTTCCACAGAGAGCCCAGGCGGCACTGCAGGCAGTGAACGCAGTGCAGGCAGGGGGCATGCCCATGGCAGGGGGCATGCCCATGGCAGGGGGCATGCCCATGGCAGGGGGCATGCCCATGGCAGGGGTGGATGCCTCGGGTGGCATGGGCGGGCACAGCCCCGTCCTGCGCATTATAGTAGAGAACCTCTTCTACCCAGTCACCCTGGACGTGCTGCATCAGGTAACACGCACACGCTTTTCACTACATGTATGACTGTATATAGGTCGGGGCTTGTATTCCCCCTGACCATGCCCTCCTCGCATGCAGATCTTCTCCAAGCTCGGCACGGTGCTGAAAATCATCACCTTTACCAAAAACAACCAGTTCCAGGCCCTGCTGCAGTACTCTGACGGTCTGACCGCTCAGCACGCTAAACTGGTAAGTAGTGCCATCTACCTGTCACAATAATATACAGCAGTTCTTTTTCCTCTCCCATTTGTCTTCATTGTTTTCCGATCCTAACTTTAATGTGTTTTAAATGTAGAGTGTGGGGAAAATAATAGTCTGAAAGATGAATGAGCAGATCCTTGGATGCAGTCTAATGCTGAAACTGTTGCCCTGTGGTGAAGTCTTTAGACGGGCAGAACATCTACAACGCCTGCTGCACCCTCCGCATCAACTTCTCCAAGCTGACCAGCCTGAACGTGAAGTACAACAACGACAAAAGCCGCGACTACACGCGGCCTGACCTGCCCACGGGAGACAGCCAGCCTTCCATCGACCACCAGGCCATGGCTGCAGCCTTCGGTGAGTACTATGGTGAATACGTTTTAAAATTACCTCCATCCTTCCTCCCTTCTCATTTAGACATGACTGGACAGGTGGAAGCTATGCGGCTGAACCTGTATCCTTCTCCTGTCCAATCATTTTCAACATGTTATATTTGTGTCATTTACAATAAACGGATAAATGCAACCAATCAATTAACACTCCTCTGTATCCATGTGTGTTTTTCTCCAGGTGCTCCCGGGATCATCTCGGCCAACCCGTACGCAGGAGCTCATGCCTTCCCCCAAGCCTTCGCCATTCAGCAAGCTGCAGGTGAGTCTGGTCGTCCTCTTTCTGACACTTGCCTCGCTCCTGATGAACATTGATGGATTGTATTTACACAGACCTTTTTCACTAGCGCTTTACATTTAAAGGGGGAAACTGGCCTCATCCACTACCATCGAGCTGCACTACTACTTTGATACTTTTGCGGACCTTGACCTATGAGCAGATTAGCAGTCGTGCTCAGCGGCTTCCAGTCCAGCCTTTTCTCTATCAACCCATTTCCGGGGCTTGTGCACTGAGTTTTTTTTTTTTTCCTCCCTACCGTTTGCTTCCCTCTGCAGGCCTGACGATGCATGGTGTTCCCGGAGGCCTGGCCCAACTGACCATGCCCGTGGCTGCAGCCGCGGCGGCTGCAGGCAGAATGGGTTTCCACCAACTGTCCGGTGGCCACTGTGTCATGCTGGTCAGCAACCTCAACCCAGAGGTTAGTCCTGCCTTGCCTCCCTCTTGCCCCCTAGTGGCCCAGATGGACTGAGTCCAGCTGTAAAGCCTCTGTAGACGGGGGTTTCATTCCTGTTCCCTACCTTGCGCCCCAAAGTGTGCACTTGCACACTCCTCCCTCATGCGTTTAGAAGTTGATTTGTCATAAGCATGGGCTACCTAGAGGGAGTTTTCACCAAATTTCTTGTAAATTCATGCAGGGGAGTGAATGAGTGCATACTTTGGGGAGAGAATTGGACTGCAGCCCATATTCGGCGATAGCTGCTTCAGTGGGCACACATGACACATGCCAAGTAAATTGGGCTGTGTATTATATGCTGGCACTCCGTGTAACAACAATGATGTTAATGTATCCACTTCTATTGAAAATGTTTAGAATTCAGGCCTCTCCCTTCACCAACACGTAAAGAAACCATGCATTAAGTCACGCCTAAGTGATACAGCGCCCCCTTTTCTCTTGTCAACTTCCTACAAGAATGCAATGTGTACAAGTCCAGTGTAGCAGAGCTTTTGGCTTCTTTTTCCCTAGTGTTTTTCCTCACTCCTGTTCTCCTCTGAAAGTGTTGTACCATCCCCGTTACCAAAGTTTCACTAGCAGTAGATGCTAACACTTAGGATATACAAGCTTCATGAATGTTCATTTGTTGACTCATTGTCATTATTATAATTCCAAATAAATATATATAAGATTAGCTTTAGGTTATTTGTGCCCTCATACATATAAACTATATTTACCATACAGCCAGTTGGACCTATATATTGGACATTAACTGTGTGGAATTTCTGTTAACATTACACTTATCAACATAATTGTACCAGTCCCTCTTAATCTACTAAGCATGATGAACTTACATTTATTTGAGAACTCATTCCGTAACCTCCACACATGCAGAGCAATTTTTCATCCGATTAGAGGCAATATTGCTTTTATGCATTTTAACATGGCCTTTAGCTTAAGCCCAACAAATATTTGTAGAATAATTAATTTTAAAGATTGTATCTATTTGTCAATAGCAATGGTGCACATCAACTCAGACAGAATTAAATAAGTATTGTATCATTCCTACTAGTTTCATTGTTGGTTGGTAATCTTCACTCTGATTTAAAGCACATTCTATACTGGATGGAACACTTCATATTTCTTTGTATACTGACCTTGTTTTTTACCTCCTTTTTCTTGTTTCTCTCCCTCCCCATTCCCCCTCTCTCCCCCTCTTTTTTGGTTTTAATACCTTCACCTGGAAACCTTTTTTTTTTTTTGCCAAACTGACCGCACGCCCCATGTATTCACTCTCCCACCTTCTCTCAACCATTACACCCCATCTTCTGCTGTGTACACATCACATGCATATAAACACACACGTAAACATATCCACTCATCTTTGCTCATATCATATTGTTACATATACCACCCCCTCCACATCTCCTCCCACTCTTCGCTCCTGTCCAATTTATTAACCCTCCTCATGATCCAACCACCATGTTTTTTGTTGTTGTTTTTTTGCCATTCCCCGTGGAACTGCCTCCGCTGTGGATGATTTGTTGAACCTCCACTCTACTGCCTCCGATCTTTTTCCTGTCCCTTCCTCCCTCCGCTGCATTCCTCTGCTGTCTTATAAAGAGAGTTACGCCCCAATGCCTCTTTATTCTTTTCGGTATGTTATCATTAGCACCTTTTTTTATTATTACTGCTTGTTTATTCTGTTTTCTTTTTCTAAACTATTTTTTTTCTTTCTTGTTTTAGTGTTCAAATGTTTTGCGTGTTGATTTGAGAAACTTGGCCAAAAGTTGCAGCATTTCCATGGGGTTTCTGTCCACGTGCATAGCTGGCTTTAAAGGGATACTTCCCTCTGATTCGACCATTTATCAAATGTTTTCTCTCTCTGAAAATGGTCTATAGTTATGGTTTTGAGTCTGATCAACTTCAGCCAAATTGGTCAAGAATACGTGGACCTGAAATGCAATTTTGTGCCGATCTCTCAAGGATGCATTTTTCGGTCCCATGCTATGGATATTGCAGACTAGTCTTTTTAATCCTATGGACCAAAGTTAATGTCCAGAAAACCTATGAATAATTTTCAAATCAGAGTTAACTATTCCTTTAAACAGCAAATGACAAGACTGCACGTTGTGCATTTTAATTTATAAGAATATCTTGTGGAAAATTCTGTGAGATGCTGTAACCTTTTGCCACTGTACATTAGATTTTATAATTTGTCTTGTCATAGTTTTCATGGTGAATTTGCATTCTTGATTTTGTCATCTTGCATGCCCTTTATGAACGCTGTATCAATTGCTTTTGGTTAATGGTCAAGACTCCCATTTGTGCAGAGTACATATGGCCAACTTGCATTCCTTCTGATCCTTATTCAAAATTTCTGACTTGCAGTCCCTGTTTTTTTTAACCATTAAGTGCCTTCACCTTCCTAAATGTTATTTACCAATTCATCAGGGAGGGGTACCTTTGTAGACGCAAAAGTCATTTCCTCCTTGATAAACTACATGAATCCCTAATTTTACCTTTTCTGTCCAAGTGTAGCAAAATATTGAAGTTCCACAGCCTGTCTCTGAGAATTCCAATTCTTTGAGTTTATTAAAACCGATGTAGAAACGGTAGCCTACACTTCGATATTTTTTAAATGGACATTTATGGTGTAGTAGTCACGCAAGTACCTCTGAGATAGTAATTGACCAATTCCCACTAGTGGCCATGATGAAACATTGCAATGATCAGTGGCTTCAGTTACTTTTGCTAGAATGTATTTGGCCCCCCTTCTCAGTTAGATAAATGGAGGAGCATCTTGATTGTGAACTGAAGTTATTCATATACACAAGCTTCCCCGTGGTGCTTAGATGGGTGTTAACCAAATCTTAAGTGCCCAAAGACATGGTTTTGATAGGATGGCTTGGTCTGGTTTAGAGTTGTATTGGTTTTCAAACAGTTGTCCCCCCCCCTTCCTAAATCTGTGTGAAGGTGTATATGGCGACGTGATGAGAGTGAAAATCCTGTTCAACAAGAAGGAGAACGCTCTGATCCAGATGTGTGATGGGACTCAGGCGCAGCTAGGTAAGGCCCGCTAAACTTTCCTGGAAATAAATACCTCAAACTAAAATCCAGGAAAACTAGCGCCAACCGAAACAACGACAGCAACAACGATATGTAGAAAGTGATGTGCATCTGAAAATGATGCTAAAGGGATACAAATAAATAATCTCATGTTTTCTTTAGCGATGGAAATTAGCTATCGTGTTGACTATACCCAAACACTCTGAATAGAAGACTCACACTGCTTTACCTCTGCTTTCAACAGCAATGAGCCACCTGAATGGCCAGAGGCTCCATGGGAAAGCGCTGCGTGTCACCCTGTCCAAACACACCAATGTCCAGCTGCCCCGCGAGGGCCACGAGGACCAGGGCCTGACAAAGGACTACAGCAACTCCCCCCTGCACCGCTTTAAGAAGCCCGGCTCCAAGAACTACTCCAACATATTCCCTCCCTCAGCCACCCTGCACCTCTCAAACATCCCGTAAGTAGACCGGAGGAGTTTCTCCTGCAATGAGCCCCCTGACCCTTTCGATAGCTGCTAGTCCTCGGGTACCACTTTCATGGTTTGACAAAAACTCTACAAATGTATTGGTAAACTACTGCTAAAAGCTTGTCAAGTTTTACAATGGTTTCGTCTTTCTTTCTTTTTAGTCCCTCTGTGGTTGAGGATGACCTCAAGATGCTGTTTGCGAGCTCCGGTGCAATGGTCAAGGCCTTCAAGTTCTTCCAGTAAGTTATTTTTCCCCTCTAAAAAAAACAGATTCTTATCATTTTATATCTTTATTATTTTCTATCTGGTCACGTGTGTGTGTGTGTGATGTAAAAAAAATAATAATATCTGCATTCGGAAAGTATTCAGACTAGGGGTGTAACGATTCGTTTTAACAACGATTCGATTTGTATCACGATTCGTGGTTGTCGATACGATTCAAGGACGATATTGGTTCATTTAGAACGATACGATCCGAAACGATTCAGTGACTTGAAATCGATTCAGTAACCTTTTAGCCAAAAATTCAACCAGTGTGACTGAAATAAATACCTGGATACTGGACAGTGCAGGTGAAGTTTCCTAGATTCCTGTTTCTTGTAAGGACCGCAATGGTGGCTTGATAATTACTCGCTCGTCGGCTTCTCCTCTGTCGTCCGCCATGCTATGTTTTGTTGTCTTTGCGCCTTTGCGCTGCTGCTGGCGCGGGGCGATGACGTCACGTATAGGCAGACTGAATCGAGTAATGTTTAAAGCCTTTATCATTAAAAGTGCTAAGAAAAAACATCCATATAAAGTCTGACGTGCTTAAATCCAATGGGTTATTTCCTAGTATCGATACAATCGATTTATTATATTTTAAAACGATGTTAGATTGATATATGTTGTCCAAAAGGCCAACTCGCCGAGCACAGATCGATGTAGTTGGATCATAGGAATATAAATCGATACATCGATGTAGTAGATGGATCGTTACACCCCTAATTCAGACCCCTTGACTTTTTCCATATTTTGTTACGTTACTGCCTTATTCTAAAATGGCCTCATCAATCTACACACAATACCCCATAATAACAAAGCAAAAACAGGTTTTTGGAGGTTTCTCTCATTCTTCTCTGTAGATCCTCTCAAGGTCTGTCAGGTTGGATGGGGAGCGTTGCTGCACAGCTATTTTCAGGTCTCTCCAGGGATGTTCGATTGGGTTCAATTCCAGGCTCTGGCTGGGCCTCAAGGACATTCAGAGACAATGCAAATAGTCTGGGTAGCCATTTGATTAGATGTTCAGGAGTCTTATGGCTTGGGGGTAGAAGCTGTTAAGAAGCCTTTTGGACCTAGACTTGGTGCTCCGGTACCGCTTGCCGTGCGGTAGCAGAGAGAACTGTCTATGACTAGGGTGGCTGGAGTCTTTGACCATTTTTAGGGCCTTCCTCTGTTAGTTGCTAGGCAACCAATTGTAGTTAGCTAGCTAGCAATGGCAATCATGTTAGCATATTTCCTACTGAGATTACTGTTCAAAAACATGTTCTTGGGTTTAAAATAATCAATACTGAAACTTTCAGATTAAGTTTGTGTGAATTAAACATGTTAAATTGCTTTCATGAGCTTATTCTCTCACTGCCCTGAGTTTAAGACAAGGGTTTAGCCATCTTGGAATTAAGAACAAATCCCAAAACTTTATTTTCAAGAATCTAATTTCTTAACTTTTTGCTTAAGGAGAAACATAAGAAATAGCGCAATAACATTTCCAATAACATTTGAGGAATAGCAACTTTGCTTAACTTTCTTCATGAGTCTATAGTTAAGAAAAAAATGGCAGTTAAGACATTTCTTAAGAAGGTTTTGGGAATCTGGGCCCTGGATTGTGCAACATTTGCCCATTTTTATTCTTTTCAAAATTATTCAAGCTCTGTCAAATTGGTTGTTGATCATTGCTAGACAACTATTTTCAGGTCTTGCCATAGATTTTCAAGCAGATTTAAGTCAACTGTAACTTGACCACTCCGGGACATACACTTTCTTCTTGGCAAGCAACGCCAGTGTAGATTTGACCTTGTGTTTTTAGGTTATTGTCCTGTTGAAAGGTGAATTAATCTCCCAGTGTCTGGTGGAAAGCAGACTGAACCAGGTTTTCCTCTAGGATTTTGCCTGTGCAAATCCTGAAACACTCCCAAGTCCTTAACGATTACAAGCATACACATAACTTGATGCAGCCACCACTATGCTTGAAAATATGGAGAGTGGTACTCGGTAATGTGTTGTATTGGATTTGCCCCAAACAATTTGAATTCAGGACAAAAAGTTAATTGCTATGCCACATTTTTTGCAGTATTACTTTAGTGCCTTGTTGCAAACAGGATGCATGTTTTGGAATCTTTTTTTATTCTGTACAGACTTCCTTTTCACTCAGTCAATTAGGTAAGTATTGTGGAGTAACTACAATGTTGTTGATCCATCCTCAGTTTTCTCTTATCACAGCCATTGAACTCTAACTGTTTTAAAGTCACCATTGGCTTCATGGTGAAATCCTCCCCGGCAACTGAGTTAGGAAGGACGCTTGTATACTTGTTGTGAATGGGTGTGTTGATACACCAGCCAAAGTGTAATTAATAACTTCACCATGCTCAAAGGGATATTCAGTGTCCACTTTAAAAAATGTTTTTGACCCATCTATCAATAGGTGTCCTTTGCGAGGCATTGGAAAACCTCCCTGGTCTGTGGTTGAATCTGTTTGAAATTCACTGTTCGACTGAGGGACCTTACAGATTGTGTGTGGGGTACAGAGATGAGGCAGTCATTCAAAAACCATGTTAACTATTATTGCACACAGTGAGTCCATGCAACTTATTATGTGACTTGTTAAGCACATTTTTACTCCTGAACGTATTTAGGCTTGCCATAAGTGGTTGAATACTTTTTGACTAAAGACATTTCAGCTTTCCATTTTTTTATTAATTTGTAAAAATGTCCTAACATAATTCCACTTTGACATTATGGGGTATTGCGTGTAGGCCAGTGACAAATCTCTAATTATTCCATTTTAAATGCAGGCTGTAACACAACAAAATTGTGGAAAAAATCCAAGGGTGTGAATACTTTCTGCAGGCACTGTATGTAGCGAATGATAGAGCAGCGGAATAATAGTCGTCCGACTTACCTAGCATAAAAACACGAGTTACCAAACTCGTTCACAGGGTTGGTTAACTGAGGTTCCTCGGGTATCCACATGGAACAATTTACAAAGCTCATTACAAGTGAATGTTCTGGTGCCGCTCTGGCAATTTTAGCATTGAGGACCTAGTAGCTGAGGAATGTCACTGTTTTTCGAAAATTGTGTTTTTTTTATTTAACGTTGTATTGATTGTTTTGTTTAACTTTTTATTGATTTGTTGTATTACTATGATCCGGGCACCCTTGAGAATGAGGCCCTGGCCTCAATAGGTTTCCCCTGAATAAATTTTTTTCTGTTGCGTGATGTGTGTAAAGTGCTTATATTGGTCCTATGACTTGAATGGGATTTGTGCCACAAATGCTAAAACATGTGGCACAAATCGGTGCCAGTGAAACTTAACCAAAGCATGGATTGCTGCCATACCATGTCCATATACTGCAACAGGGTAAGGAAACCAAAATGTCATTTTGGATGAACTATCCCTTTGAATGTGTAAGGAAAGACTGCCGTGTGTGTGCAATGTTTTTTTTTTTTTTTAGGAAAGGCTGCATATCTGACCGTGTGCAAATTTGATTTTTTTTAGGAAAGACCGCAAGATGGCCTTGGTCCAGATGAGCTCAGTCGAGGAGGCCATAGAATCCCTCATCGAGTTCCACAATCACGACCTGGGTGAGAACCACCACCTGAGGGTCTCCTTCTCCAAATCTACCATCTGAGGGGGGCAGCCCAAAACGCTACTGCTAATGGGCCGCCCCATCCCTTCACGACCTCTGCTATGTCAAGTTGTGGGAAAGCGACTCTTCAGTCGTAAAGTAGCATCCACCACAGAAATCACTTCCATCATTCCTAGTATATTATATTTATATTCCATTATCTATATAAATCGACATATAAACCATATGGAAAAGAAAAGTGCACACCCGATTTTACAGGGTAATTTTTTTTTTTTATATATATTTCTAGAGTCTTGCCTTTTTTGAGAGGTAAATGAATTCCTTGCTCTCTCTTTGCACCGACAGAAGTAGTTTACACTTGCCTGTCTAAGAGTCTGACTTAAGACTCGCGTAGCCTAAACTTCAGTCAGAAAATTATATTTGCCCTTGGGGTCCAGCACCACTAGGTTCTGAGGTACTTTTGTGATGCCTCATGTCCTCTCTGCCTTCAGATGTTTTCTGTGCCTTACTCCAGAAGTCTTATGTCCTTCAATTTGATACTTTGGCATTTTACAAGCAAATTTTGTTTTGGCTATCTTCCCCTCTCCAATCCTTGTTTGTGAAGACCAGGTTTACAGCTGATATGGGTTTACTGTTTGTATAAAATGTATTACAAGGTGGTTCATTTCTTTTTATGAAGGTATTCTATTTAGTCTTATTTTAAAATGCCCTCTTATTTTAAAAGTAAGATGAGCTAGTTAGTTGGGAAGATTAAATCCACAACTCATCTAGCTTTTTTATTTTTTAAATATATAAACCCCTTGTATCAGGGTTTGATTCCTAGTCTTGTTTACTGTATGTCTAGATGTAGGTTGTTTGCATTTTATGAAATTTATGCAATAAGTTTTGTACAAATCCAGTATTGTACTTTGTTATTCCTATATACTGTTGGTTGTAGCTGATAGGTATTGGTCAGTGGTTGCCTTAACCACTGTGCCTTTGCAAAAGGTCTATTGCTAGAACTTTCCTGATGTCTTGTGTTTGTTTTATGATTTTTGTCTTAATGGCTTGCCTCGCCTTTGAAACACTACAGCGCAAAACCAAATAAGGCCTTTTTGCAAGTTATTTTAGCGAACCTGTACACACCGCTTTATTCATAATTCACTACCACAGAGTTGTGGTAGTCTGCCTGCCAATTAGCACATTTACAAGGCTCTTACGGGGCTCAGATATATGCAGACTATTGCGGCTCTGCTGCTGTGAATTATAAAATAAACTTCAGAATTGGAAGTGTCTCAAGTCAGTTGAATTCCAAGATGAATGATGGTAATTTCACATTTACACGTGCTCGTAAAACAAGAGCGAATACTTTCATGTCTGCTACTCGGGTTAGTGTTTTCAAAGGCCTCACAAGAGGGGTTAGTAGCCATATGTTATAGGGCTGTGACTTTTACTTAATGCAGTCATTGCTAACGGCAATACGGCACCCTCTGTCATGGTAGTCTATGGACTGGACTTGTGGCCTGGACAACGTTCAGCTTAAATTGAGATCCATTTAGCTATTTTGGAGAAGTGCCTTTCAAACAAAGCCTTTTTTTGGTCTGTTTAGGAAATGCGCACATCCGGAATAAATGTAATCGTCTGCAGTGATTCTAGGTGCTTGCTACATTGAAGGTGGACACATTGTTGTAGATCACATTTAAAAGATCATTATCAACTATCAGTCTTAATACTTGGACATTCCACGTGTGCATCATTTTCTGTTGGGGAAATGTTTCGGTTATTTTAGGTTTTCTTACTTCTAACAATTAATTGTGCATCAAGTTCCTATTATTAAGTTGAACTGGTGCAAAGCAATAATATAATTTCAGGGTCATGTGAGTAACCCCAGTGCTCAGACGCTACGTTCGATCACTTAAGTGTTCTTGAACACATCAGTTGATTACATGCTAACCTATTCATAATTGGACTCCAGCAATGCAGAAGAATCCCAATTTGTTTGTAGATTACTCAAGAATACGTGACACTTGTCTCCATATCACTATGTAGCATGTGTTGATATTAAAGGTATTTTACTTGCTTTGCATACCCCAGGCCATGGCAGGAGTGGATTTCTCAATTATGCAAAATTGCACAGCATTTAAAATCATTACAACCTCAATCACTTAACATTAAGATGGCAGGATTTCTTAAAGCGAGATGATTGTCGGGGGGAAGCTGTACATAATTGTTTTTTGGTACCACAAAGTAGGTATTCCGAAACTAGGTTTTATATCTATGAAACGTATATATTTTGATTACCTTTCTCTTGAGCCTCTCAGTTTAAAAACAACATTTGTATCACAATTAAATTGTTTTCTAACAAACAAAAAAATGGGTCCCTTTTGGTCATTGTAGTGTTCTGTATAGCTTAAACTTTTCTTGAAATTGTGCCTTCAATAAATATTCTCTGCTTTCAATTGGTAATTTCCTTTGGGTTCTGCTATTTTTAGATTTACCTCCTTGCTCATCAGTTTGTTTCCTTCATTCCCCTGCTAACCATTGGATCTATAGAGGCTACTTCTATTGTTTCTGAGCCAAATACTTACGAAAGGAGGACTGGACACTATATTGATTTGCAATGATTAAACGTACATAAAAATACTTCAGCGTATGAAGCCCAAACTTTTTGGTTTCCAACTACTCTTGGAAGCACTGTCAGTGGTGTGCGTCATACACAGTTTTAGGGTTCACTGATGGTCAAATTCAGTATATTTGCATGAATTTTGATGACGTATTGTATGCTAAGTACTGGTAACATTTGGGGAGCAACTTCTATGAACTACTTTGTGTAGTTGCTTGCAAGTTTTATTTCATGTAATAGGGGCCAGGCCCTGTGTTTTTCCCTGACCAGGAAAAGGTGTGGCTATAACTTGGGCCCATAGTCTTTCCTGGTTAGATAGACTGAACAAAAATATAAACTCAACATGCAAGAATTTCAAAGAGTTACAGTTCATATAAGGAAATGTAGTCAATATAAATAAATTAGGCCCTAATCTATGAATTTCACATGACTGGGAATACAGATATGCATCTGGTGGTCACATACCTTTAAAAAAAAAATGGATGTGCCTTGAATTCTAAATAAATCACCTGACAGTGGATCAGAAAACTAGTCAGTATCTGGTGACATCTCCTTCGCATAGAGTTTATCAGGCTGTTGATTGTGGCCTGTGAAATGTTGTTCCACTCTTCAATGGCTGTGCGAAGTTGCTGGATATTGGTGGGAACTGGAGCACACTGTTGTACACGTAGATCCAGAGCACCCCAAACATGCTCAATGGGTGATGTGTGAGCATGCAGGCCAGGAAGAACTAGAGCTGTGTTCGAATAACCATGCCAACATACTGTATACTACATACTATTAGTTAATTTTAGTATACTGTAAACGAACGGTATCCTTTCAATTGAGCATACTAACGCTTCCCCTGTCTACTGGAAGTTGATGGTGTTGCTATGCAACCTATTGCTAGCTTGTTAGCATAACAAATTACTAGCTAGACATTTTACGACTTCGGGTGTGTTATTAAATTCAATCTGGAGTGCCAGAGTGCGCTCTGGGTGTTCGTAAATTCAGAGCGTTGTCAGATTGTCCGTTTGTAAATGCAGAGCGTTCAGCGCGCATACTGGACGCTCTGGCCGAGGAGTAGGGTTGATCAGAGCGTTCTGACATCACAACGGCAGTGAAGCACCTAAGCTAACTGGCTAGCTACTTCAAGACACAAATGATATCACACCTCACTCTGACCATTTTAATCGGCCTAGCAGAGCTGGTTAGGCTGTTTTCATGCTATCCAGAGGGTTGGTGACTAACTGTGCTGCTGGCAACAATTGAATTACGCTTATTTTTGTCGACGTTTACTGAGACCGGCCATATTCAACTGGTGTTGAGCGTTCGTAAATTAATCAGTTATTCTGCGCACTGGCACACTCAGATGAGTGCTCTGAAATGTAAATCGGAGTAGATAGCCAGAGCGAATTTACGAACGTACCCGAATGTGCATTGAGAACGCACAACGACTATACCACTTAGTTAAACTAAGAATGACGGGAATAATCAAGTCAATAAACGCTGGGTAGTTAGTTAGATAGCATATAGCTAATATACTGGCAAGTTCGATGTATTAGTAGCCAACTAACGTTAGGTAGCTAGCTAACATACCGGTACATACTGCTGTAATGATATGCGGTTCATAAGGATAGCGTAGCTAACACATTGTCAGTCAACAACGTGTAAGGTAACTTATTTGAAAAGTCATTACTTTTTACATTGCTCAACATTTTCTGAACATTTGTCATAATTAGTTAGCGCAATTAATTTGTATCCGCTCTCGTTAGACTTCGGCTGTATATTTTCTTCAAATATGAAAACGTTGTGAAGCCACACCCATTTTCGGAAGAATTGCATTATGGGCCCTAAAAGTACGAAAATGGTGTCCACTGCTTCTATACTTCGTATTTTGGCGAATGTAGTATGACATCCGGAAACTTTTGGCATACTATCTATAGCCATACTATGACCAATAAGCATACTATACACTCAATTTACATCACAAATAGTACGGTTAGTATGAGTATTCGAACACAGCTTAGGACATTTTAAGCTTCCAGGAATTGTGTACAGATCCTTTAGACATGGGGCCGTGTATTATCATGCTGAAACATTAGGTGATGGCGGTGGATGAATGGCACGACTATGGACCTCAGGATCTCGTCACGGTATATCTGTGCATTCAAATTGCCATAGATAAAATGCAAATGTTTTTGTTGGCCGTAGCTTATGCTTGCCCATACCCAGCACCACCATGTGGCACTCTTCACAACGTTGACATCAGCAAGCTGATCACCAACACGACGCCATACACGCTGTCTGCCATCAGCCCGGTACAGTTGAAACCGGGATTCAGGCTGTTTATTGTGGCCTGTGGACTGTTGACCACTCCTCTTCAATGGCTGTGCGAAGTTCCTGGATATTGGCAGGAACTGGAACAGGCTGTCATACACGTCGATCCAGAGCATCCCAAACATGCTCAATGGGTGACATGTCTGGTGAGTATGCAGGCCATGGAAGAACTGGGACATTTTCAGCTTCTAGGAATTGTGTTCAGATCCTTGCGACATGGGGCTGTGCGTTATCACGCTGAAACATGAGGTGATGGCAGCGGATAAATGGGCCTCAGGATCTCGTCACGGTATCTCTGTGCATTCAAATTGCCATCGATAAAATGCAATTATGTTTGTTGTCCATAGCTTATGCCTGCCAATACCATAACCCCACCCCCACCATGGGGCACTCCGTTCACAACGGTGACATCAGCAAACCGCTCACCCACACGACACCATACATGCTGTCTGCCATCTGCCCGGGACAGTTGAAACTGGGATTAATCCGTGAAGAGCACACTTCTCCAGCGTGCCAGTGGCCATCGAAGGTGAGCATTTAACCACTGAAGTCGGCTACGACGCCGAACTGCAGTCAGGTCAAGACCCTGGTGAGCTTCCCTGAAATGGTTTCCGACAGTTTGTGCAGAATTTTTCTGTTGTGCAAACACACAGTTTCATAAGCTGTCCGGTGGCTGGTCTCAGCCGATCCCGCAGGTGAAGAAGCCGGATGTGGAGGTCTTGGGCTGCAGTGGTTACATGTGGTCTGCGATTATGAGGCCGGTTGGACATACTGCAACATTTTCTAAAATGACATTGGAGGCGGCTTATGGTAGAGAAATTAACATTACATTATCTGGCAACAGCTCTGTTGGACATTCCTGCAGTCAGCATGCCAATTGCACGCTCCCTCAAAACTTGAGGCATTGTGTTGTGACAAAACAGAACATTTTAAAGTGGCCTTTTATTGTCCCCAGCACAAGGTGCACCTGTGTAATGATCATGCTGTTTAATCAGCTTCTTGATATGCAACACCTGTCAGGTGGATGGATTATCTTGTCAAAGGAGAAATGTTCACCAACAGGGATGTAAACAAATTTGTGCACAAAATTTGAGAGAAATAAGCTTTTTCTGTGTATGGAACTTTTCTGGGATCTTTTTTTTCAGCTCATGACATGGAACCAACACTTGTTGGGTTTATATTTTTGTTCAGGATGTACAGTGAGGGGAAAAAAGTATTTGATCCCCTGCTGATTTTGTACGTTTGCCCACTAACAAATAAATTATCAGTCTATAATTTTAATGGTAGGTTTATTTGAACAGTGAGAGACAGAATAAAAACTTGTTATAAATTGATTTGCATTTTAATTAGGGAAATAAGTATTTGACCCCCTCTCAATCAGAAAGATTTCTGGCTCCCAGGTGTCTTTTATAAAGGTAACGAGCTGAGATTAGGAGCACACTCTTAAAGGGAGTGCTCCTAATCTCAGCTCGTTACCTGTATAAAAGACACCTGTCCACAGAAGCAATCAATCAATCAGATTCCAAACTCTCCACCATGGCCAAGACCAAAGAGCTCTCCAAGGATGTCAGGGACAAGATTGTAGACCTACACAAGGCTGGAATGGGCTACAAGACCATCGCCAAGCAGCTTGGTGAGAAGGTGACAACAGTTGGTGCGATTATTCACAAATGGAAGAAACACAAAATAACTGTCAATCTCCCTCTGCCTGGGGCTTCATGCAAGATCTCACCTCGTGGAGTTGCAATGATCATGAGAACGGTGAGGAATCAGCCCAGAACTACACGGGAGGATCTTGTCAATGATCTCAAGGCAGCTGGGACCATAGTCACCAAGAAAACAATTGGTAACACACTATGCCGTGAAGGACTGAAAACCTGCAGCGCCCGCAAGGTCCCCCTGCTCAAGAAAGCACATACAGTGGGGAAAAAAAGTATTTAGTCAGCCACCAATTGTGCAAGTTCTCCCACTTAAAAAGATGAGAGAGGCCTGTAATTTTCATCATAGGTACATGTAAACTATGACAGACAAAATGAGAAAATAAAATCACATTGTAGGATTTTTAATGAATTTATTTGCAAATGATGGTGGAAAATAAGTATTTGGTCAATAACAAAAGTTTCTCAATACTTTGTTATATACCCTTTGTTGGCAATGACACAGGTCAAACGTTTTCTGTAAGTCTTCACAAGGTTTTCACACACTGTTGCTGGTATTTTGGCCCATTCCTCCATGCAGATCTCCTCTAGAGCAGTGATGTTTTCGGGCTGTCGCTGGGCAACACAGACTTTCAACTCCCTCCAAAGATTTTCTATGGGGTTGAGATCTGGAGACTGGCTAGGCCACTCCAGGACCTTGAAATGCTTCTTACGAAGCCACTCATTCGTTGCCAGGGCGGTGTGTTTGGGATCATTGTCATGCTGAAAGACCCAGCCACGTTTCATCTTCAATGCCCTTGCTGATGGAAGGAGGTTTTCACTCAAAATCTCACGATACATGGCCCCATTCATTCTTTCCTTTACACGGATCAGTCGTCCTGGTCCCTTTGCAGAAAAACAGCCCCAAAGCATGATGTTTCCACCCCCATGCTTCACAGTAGGTATGGTGTTCTTTGGATGCAACTCAGCATTCTTTGTCCTCCAAACACGACGAGTTGAGTTTTTACCAAAAAGTTATATTTTGGTTTCATCTG